AAGCAGAGAAGAGTCTGGGGGCTCCACAGTCTTCCACTTAGCCCCCTAGTTAGCCCTAATGGATAGGAGAACTCCTGGTTCTAACACTCTTTCTGGAGGAAGAGTTGGCCCTCATTCCTCACACTCCTTGTCCTACCAACTTTTGTAGGACAGAAGCAGAGAATGACATTTTTCATTAGTAAAGGCCAGCAACTCACTCTCAAGAAAGATTAGCTCGGCCCCAACCCTCACTCTCTTTAAACCAAATATTATTCAGTCTTTTTGGCTCCTGACAGCTGGGGCAGGCTCAGATGTCTAGAGGAGGGACGATCCAGTGACACAGATCAAGGCAATGATGCCTTTTTTAACTCTTGAGAGGGGCTTCTACTCCCTTTAGCTGATGCAAGAAAATGCCTGCAAGTCTGTTTTTTTTTTTTTTTTGTGTGTGTGTGTGTATGATAAAATGACAATTTAATGATTAATTTATTAATTCTTCATTAATATGGTACAGCAATTAAGCAAGTCATTAAGTGTATCATCAATGTATATGAGTGAACAAGATTTATTAGCATATGAACTCTTATTCCCATTTTAGTCTTACTTCCTTACCACCATACATGCACAGAAGGAATGGGTTTACTGGCACCATTTATGGTTCTTTTCTGAGACAACAGAATGAAAAAGGGAGAGAAAGACCATGATTGAGATGTGGAAGGAAGAGTGGGAGGGGATCACATAGACAAGGCAAGTCAATCAAAAGAGTAAAGAACTAGCTGGGCATAACTGGGGGAGAGAGAGAAAAGGGTAGGGAGGGGGAAGATGAGAACAGTATTGCCAAAAGATTAGAGAGAGAATATGAGTTTGGCATAAGAGGGGTTCTGGGACAGCTGTGAGGTGACAAAGATTGGAAAGTACAGAGGAGATGTGAAAAGAAGTATTTCTGGCTTATAAATTGGCCTCTTTAAATTTCCTCCATAGATGCAAGGAAAGACTAGCTTTTTATTTTTTTTTATTTCTTTTAAAGCTTTTTTTTTTTTTAATTACCTTTCTGTTGTGAGACTGTGCTTGTTTGTAAGCAATTTGATGCAGAAATGCAGCCAGAAATTGCCCCAGAATTCTGTAGGGTTGCCCAAATAACAAATATTCAGAATTGGGCATGAATGTGGCATAGTTTTCTTCAGGCCATTTGCAAAAAAAAAAAATAAATAAATAAAAATAGAGGGATTATTGTTTCTTATCCCATGACCAACTTCTCATTTTAGACTTCCTTTTTTTTCCTGTTCCCTAGGCACCCAAAGAAATACAAAAGCACTTTGGAATTTCTGCCAATTATGTCTTTTCAATATATAAACATCTGTGAAATATTATGTCAGGTAGTCACACACAGCAAAGGTGAACAACACATGGCCCTTACTTCCAGGGGATCAAATACTAAAGGGTGAGATGGACCTATATCAAATCATTAAAACAATTGGTGCTGAAATGGAGGGACAGTCAAGTAGGTCACCATGTGCTTACAGAGGTCAAAACTGGCTCTGCTTACGGGTCAGAGAAAGCTTCTGAGAAAAGCTGAGTCTTGAAGGATAGTAGGGGTTACCAGCAGACACCATGGAGGAACAAGAATAGCATGTGTTAAGGTGCAGAGGAGAAAGGAACATGGATCTTACCAGACCCTGCTGTGAAGATGGACATGGGTGGCAGCAGTCAGTGAGGCTGGTGTATAGATAGGTGACACATGGAAGGCTCTCCATACCAGGCAAAGAATTGAGGCTTGCATACCAGGAGCAATGGGGCTGGAGAAAGGGAAGACTTATGGAGAAAAGGCAGTGATATGACCAAGCTTCATTTTTAGGAGTGTACTTTTGGTGGGAATGGCTTGGAAGAGAGACTGGAGGTAGGAGGGAGGTAGGGAGTGTCACAGTCATGCAGGGAAACCCAAAGCATTCTGGAATTAAGACAGTGGTGAGGGGAAGAAAAGAAGGAGTTTGGGCCAAGAGATAATTTGGAGGTGCTAATAAAAGGTTGAGGAACCACACTGGGATAACAAAGATGAAAGATTCTGAGATTATTCACATATTACTGCTGTGGGCAACTGGTGTATATGCTTCATAAAGTAGAAAATATAGAAAGAGGAATAGACTTTGGATGAAGATGATGTTTAAGACTTAAGGAATAGAAATGTAAGAGCTCCAAAGAACATCCAGCCAGCATTCTCAACAACACAGGCAGGACACAGGCCAAAATGATGTTCTCTTCTTACCAACATCCTCCTCTACTGGGTAGATGCAAGAAATGCAACAGCTATTAATGCCTGCAAATAGAGGCACTGATGAATGCTAGAATTTATACAGGCTTTTGTCTCTGGGTTGACTAGAGATCTAAGGCTCATGTCTAGTAATTGAAGGCATGAACTTTAAATATTTTTTTTTAGAGAGAGAGAGAGACAGAGACAGAGAGAGAGACAAAGAGAGGATTTTTAAAAATATTTCTTAGTTTTTGGGGGACACAACATCTTTGTTTGTATGTGGTGCTGAGGATCGAACCCGGGCCACATGCATGCCAGGCGAGCACGCTACCGCTTGAGCCACATCCCCAGCCCGTGAACTTTAAATGGTGAGATGAAATTCTATCTTTTTTTTTTTTTTCTAAAAGAAATGACCATTTTTTCAAACTTAGTACTTACCATGTTTGTGTTAAGAGCTATCAACTGGATTCATCATCTCTCCTGGCCTGTCTATACCCCCACACTTTACCTTTCTTTCCTGAAAAAGAGAGTGTTAGAACCAGTTGAAAGCAAAGAGGACAACCAAGGAAGAGAAAAATTTTAAAATCTACTTTTGAGTTTTGAAGAGAATTTGGTTGGCACCTCCTGGTGATGGCCAGATTAACCTACTGTGAGTTTTATGGCCAGAGCTGAAAGAATGATTAGAAGGCAACAAGCTAAATTTCTAGCAATTTTATTGTTCAAAAGAAAAGCTTTCCTTTATAGGTTTAAATATCAAGTACCTACCACTTTCTGATGTGGGGTAGAGGGACAGAAGAAAGAAAGGATGTGACAATTATTTTTTTAAAAAATCTGTTTGAGTCCAAAGTTAATACCAGAATCCACAGATCTGAAATTACCCTAAGACATATTTTTGTAATCTTTCTAACCATTAACAACATGCTTTTGTTTTTTTAAAAAACTTGGCATCATGTATATTGAAATTTAAATTTAGAAGCTCCCATTAACCTTTGGCACCTGGATTCCTGATTTGGTAGTAACTCACATTACATTGGATCTTTGAGCAATCCTCTTCTAATACTATAATTCTATTTGTTGATGGTTCAAAGGTGTTCCTCAGCTTTAATCTTAAAAATCTATTTTGTGATGTTTAGATGTCAGAACGAAAATTTTCCAGGAAACAATAAGCAAACTCTGTTCATAGAACATCCAATCAAAACAAAGAGCATCATAGGACTGTCTCGGAACATTTCATAGAAATAAAATTCTGTACCTACCAAGATAATGTACTCTGGTCCCCAAGGTGTGTTAGGAAGACTCACTTGGTGGGTTATCCTGCATCAACCCTACATTTCTAATATTTTCTGTAGGTTTATTTGCTAGAGAGTTAAGGCAAGACTGAATTTTAAAAGGTAGAGTTGGGAATTACTCTATTGCCCAGAAGTTTAGCTTTCCAGGCACTGATTCCAAGTAGGGGTCTCTTAACAGCATTGCCTGACCTCTAAAACAATCCTGTGTTTAATCTGTAGCTTCCCCAAAGCACATTGTTAGTACTTGCGGAGGATGACTCACAAGTTGAATACCAAGAGTACATTAGTGATAAACGGTAAATATACTAACTGTAGGGATTTGAAAACCAACCATTATCCTGGTTTGGTTACTGACAGCCCAGGTTACTTGCCACCTCAGAACTCCAATATCCTCTAAAAATAATAAGAGCTAATATTTGTTGGATATTCTTATGTTCCTGGAACTATTATTAGCATCTTGTGTTTGGTCTTATTTAATGCCCAGATTTCCACTGTGGGTTATGACTACAATCATCTCCATCCTGCAGATGAGGAAATTGAGGTGCACAGAAGTTAAAGGATTTGCTCAAGTTCATACAGTCAGGAATGGCAGCTTGGATTGAAACTCTGGCAGACCCACTGCCCTCACTCCCTACCCTTATCCATGACACTACCTGAAATGAAGGGACTGGAGGGCCATGAGGGTCCTCTCAGCCCTACCAGTGTGAGTCTATGTAGAGGTGGGGGCCAGGGTTCTATTGCTGGGCTGGGAATCCACCTCAATCTCTAAGAAAGCCTTTAGAGAATATGTGTTCACATTAGGTCTACAGGCAGCACCACAGGACTTGGTTTAGCTATTATGCTCCACAAGAAGGCTTACCATTCCTTTCTGAGCATGTGAGTTAAGTAAAATCTCAGTGGTGGTGAGACCTTGGAGAAATGAAGTGTCTGGAAAGTTGGCCACAGAGGAAAATGCTGAATCAAGAAACTGCCAGCTCCCAGCTGGCGAAGATAGGAACCATTGTAAATCAGGGAACAGTTTAGACTGGTGCTGGATATCAGGGCCAGAGCCTGGGCAGGGGCTGTTGACCCAATAAAAATAGCAGCAGCAGCAGCAGCAAGAAGATAAGAAGCCAAGTTCAGGCTCAGAAAGCAGCTTCGATGACAAAGAGGGGGCTGCTTGGGTCAGTCTGTGGAAGCAGTTAGCAGGTGAGGAATTAGGAATGAAAAGGGGAAGGAAGGTACAAATAGCACCAGAGGGACAAAGGGGTCCCCAGGATTACAGTCAAATTACTGTCAGTAGCCCAGAGCAGGCAAAAACCACTAGAGTAAGTCCTGAAACGGAATAAGAGAGAAGCAAAGAAAAAGCTTCTAACAGCTACCAAAAAGAGGAGGAAGTGGGAGATGCACTGCTTCCTGTACAAAGAACGATGATTGAAGACAAAGCTGGGTGGGGACTAGTCCCCGGGCTGCAGCCGCAGCTGCTACACATACACACGACGCTGCTGCTGCCGCCGCCGCCGCCGCGCTCTGTGGGCAACTCCTACTACTGCTGGGCTGGGCTGGGCTGGGCTGGGCTGGGCGGGCCGCCGCGGTGCTCGCCTACACAGATCAGCTCCGGAGAAGGGAAAGCCACTCTCCTCTGACCGAGCCTCAGGAGCCAAGGTAAAGGAGACGTTTTTCCATGTTGCTCCTTTTTAATTGAGGAAAGTGACCATTTGCCTGTGGATTTTAGGGCAGATTTCTAAGGGAAGCTGAGAACATTGCTTCTCGATTAGGGGATGATCAGTCTTGGTCTTTTAAAAGGGCTTTTAAGAATGATGGTCAAATTTGTGACACATTTTCTTAAAACAACAACAACAACAACAAAAATCATCCTCTAGTGCTTACCTTGGGTGACTAGCCAGAAAAAACGCGCTAAATGTAAGGAGCGGTTTGCATAGTTCTCTTGAAAGGAAAACAGGGCTGAGTTGAAATCAAACCGGGGCTATGAAGCTGTGGTTTGGTCATCAGTGTTGCAGTCCTCTTGTTTAGGGGTGTAAGTGGTGGAAAAAATGTTAATCTGCATTTTTCTTTCTTACATATTGCACGGGGCTGTCTTCTGCTTTGCATTGTAATGGCTGTGATTTGGCTTTTTGGGGAGTTAGATCCTTCTGTACTAAGAATTTGCCAACAAAGACTCGAATTGCGAAGGTGAGGGGCAGTATTTACCATTAAAAAAAAAAAAAAAAAAAAAACAACGGTGTCTTCCTCCCTCAGCTCTGTGCGGCTGCTTTCAGGGTAACCTCAGAAACAGCTTCCATTTGCCTGTAGGTCTTATCCTAAAGTTGCATCCTTATTCAAAGAAGCGTGGCGGGTCTGGGGACCGTAACTTGTCCAGAATCGAATACTGGCGTACATATGGATTTTATGTTTATATGGATTTTATTCATCTCTAGGTCATGCTAACCTCGGTCAGGGACAAAATATAAAAGTGAGCTGGGTTATTTCCTTACCTGTATATACTGTTAATAGACTGAAGTAGTCCAAGCAGGAGATAATTTTTATTCTTTAATTTTCCTGAGCAATGGATGCTATTAATGAGAGCCTAGGGCTGTGACTTGTTCATATTTATGAATGATATGTAAAAGTGCAGTAAATAGGTCTAACGAACTAGAACTGAGATTGTGAGGTTCCTTTGCAGGATATGTAGGAGAAACAGTTTATTACCCTAGCGTAACATGATTTAAAAAAAAATCAAGCTTTGTTTCTTCAACAAAGTGGGTTTAAGCAATTGATGGTCATTGATAAAAGGGTTTTTCTTGGTTTTATTTTTCACAATTAAGGGTGATAATTTTTCAAAGGAAAGAAAGAACTGCTTATAGTAGAGTAAAAATAATAAAAAGGACATGTTTTAACACTCACAAATTTTTAAAATACAAGTTTTTCATAACCAGATATACCAATTGAGAATGTATATGCCTCCTCCTGGTTCACCATTGCCAGTTGTAAATAGCTAAAGGGTTTTTTGTTTTGTTTTGTTGTTTTTTGCCATCTTCATGAAATTGCTTTGGCCTCTCAGAATTTGTGGAGTAGAAACACAGTTTCAGAGATAGGAAGCTTTTCTTGGTACTAAAGAAAAAAAATGTCTATTTTTCTGAGGCCACTTCTCATTAAAGTAAACCAGCACCATGTCTAAGAGACAAAGTATTGCTGGTGTGGAAACCATGAAGCTCATCTGAGGATTCAATGAATCAAAGCTACAGGCAAAACAAGTCATGTCAGGATTCCACAGTTCCACTTCCAGTTTGCATCCTAAAGTCAAAGATGTAAGATAATCTTCCTAGATAGAATGCCTAGTGTAGATCTTACAGTCCTATAATCAAGCTGTAGTCATTAAATGAAATAGAAAGTTGGGAATCTGAGCTGCATGAATGAGGGCAGGGCTTACCCTCTGGTATTGATCCATCTACAAGCTGTAGTCGGCAGATAATGCCAACACCCTGCTTTGTTTGGGAATGTATAGAAAATGCATGTTACCCCTCTGTGAGTGTTTCATCCAACAGTAAGAAAATGAAACCCTGGCCAACAGACATAGTGGAGTCAAGAGGCCCCTTCTCTTCTGAAAACAACTAAGAGCTGCCTGTTTTCCTCACAGCACAAAACATTTCCATAATTGTTAAATTCCAGCTTGAAGCAGAACGTTAGTAACAGCAGATCAGTAATTAGGATGGTGAGATGTTTAGGAAAAATATGAATATTCTCCTACGCTGCAAAATGAAAACTATTTCCACTTTTTCTGGCTATATGGGATATTGAAGATATATTGCTTTTGCTCAGGGTATTCAGTGGCTTTTGAGGGAGTCAACCAACATTGAAATTTTAATTGTATGCTTCCTCCCCACCCCCGCCATATGACCAATGGCTGAATGGAAACGTGACTCCATTATTTCATGGCCAGCCCTGGGCCTCATATGGTGGGCATGTAGTGAATGTGTTTGGTTGACTGGCTTTTTTAGCCTATTTCAGAAGACAGGCCCAACTTTTAAGTCTAAAAGCTCTATAGTCAAAGCAGAAAGCCTGCTCACAAAAGATTACTGTGGGTAGAAGAAAAGAACACAAAGGAATAAAAAGAACACAGGCTTTGGAGTCGGGCAGATCTGCCTTTGAATCCTACCATGCTCTTACTACTTGACCCAGTACATTAATTTATGAACCTTAATTTTTTCATTGTAAAGAAGGATTAGCAGCACATAACCAGGCTTTTTGTTTGGTTTGTTTTTGTTTTTATGTGTATGATAAATGAGTGTATGGTACACTGAAGAAACTCAAGTATTATTTTTTCTTCCTTGGAGGCATAAGAAAAAGTTAACATTCTCTTTATCTTTGTCACTGCTTCCAAAGGTGGAGAAGACTTTTTCTAATTTTGAAAAATATTCATAATATAAAATATCCCATTTTAACCATTCTTGAGTGGATTGTTCTGTAATCTTAAGTACAGCACATTGCTATGCTATTCACCACCATCCACCCATGGAACATCTTTTAATTTTGCGAAATGGAAACTCTGTACCTATTGAACAATGACTCCCAGACCCTAGCAATCATCTTTATTCCACTGTCTCTATAAATTTGACTAAGTACTTCATATAAATGGAATTATACAATATTTTTCTTTCCTAAGAAAAATATTGTATGATTTTTTATTGTCTTTGATGTTTATCCATGTTGTCACATGTGTCAGAATTCCCTTCTTTTTTAAAGCTAAATAATATTAAATTGTGTGTATATACCACCTGCTGTTTATCCATTCATCTTTCAATGGACACTTGGACCACTTTTTGATTATTATGAATTATGATAGTACAAATACAGGTATGCAAGTATCTGTTAGAGTCCTTCTTTAACTTTGCAGACTTATAGGACTTTAGTAATTCTTTTTAATTTTTTGAAGAACTGCCATACTGTTTTCCACAGTAGCTACACCATTTTACATTCCTACTAGGGTTACAGTTTTTCCACACCCATACCAACATTTGTTATTTTATTTCTGATTTTCTGGTTTTTGTTTGTTTTTGATAATAGACATCCTAATACATAGGAAGTGGAATCTCATTGTCCTTTGGATTTGCATTTGCATTTTCTTAATGATTAGTGCCGTTGAGTACCTTTTCATGGACAGACTGGCTACATATCTATCGAGCAAAGTATCTATTCAAATCCTTTACTGATTTTTCACTGGATTATTTTTGAGGCAACATTTTAAAATTTCTTAACATTATGTCATAATGTTTGTAGTTAATCTCCTGCATACAAGTCTTATTCCTGCCCAAATATAATACTTCTCTCAAAAGTAACTTTTAAAATCAAAGGAGAAAGTAAGAAAATATTCATAGCTTCTGTGAACTGGTAATGTCAAGAACCTGACAATGAAATTCCTTATTGTTGGCAGTCACACATACCAGTGACCGTGCTGGTCAAGTGGTAGGCCAGGCTACTCTCAAGGAGTCACTGGAGGGAGGCTGCTTCCGTCTTTCTGATCCCTACTCATTAATGAAGCTACTGGGGATAAGAAAAATGTCCAACAGGTATCAGAGTCAGAAAAAGAGAGAAGAAACTGAAGTATTGAATTGTTCTCAAATCCTTTATGATGGAGGGCACTAGTCTCTGCCACAGGCTATAGCAGTGAGACAGTACAATGAGTTTCCGAGACAACAAGTTTCTACCCATGAAATATGATTCCAATCCAAATTTCACTTTTAGAAATAGAGAACATTTCTGTTTCATTTTCCACTACAGATATCACTCCTAATCCTGAAACCAGTGAGGCAGGATGTAGATATGACTTAGGAAAGCTGAGGGAGGACCCTTGAATAGCTCCAATATCTGAGCTTCACAGTGTGGGTGCAGACATTGATTGACCTTAAAGGGTTTGAAGTGCTCCTAAGTGACAACTGTCTATTAACTTTATGCATGGGCAGGTGTGTGCGTGGGGTTGGGGGCTTGCAGATAATGATCCTCAATTTTATTTAATTTGAAAATCTCTGTTCTATAATTACTGGGAGAGCCCATGTGCCTAGCTTTACTAGAGTAGGTGGATAGGAGAGTTATAGAACTATATTGAGATTCTGCCCCTAAAGTGATAGATATGTTAATTAGCCTGGTTTGATCATTTCATGTATGTACTCAATCATGAATGGAAATATCATATAGTAACCATAAATATGCAAAATTATTATTTTTCAATTAAAACCTAAAGAAATAAATAAATAAGACTTGGTCCCTGGTCTTGGACATGGTAGAATGGCAGGAATTGAAAATGGCCTGGCATGACCTAGCTTTTATCAACCCCTTCATGATGGATAATGAAATAGGCCTGGAATTGAAAGTTGTACAGTTGATTAATCCATCATCTCCCAATTCAAACTCCATTTTTCTTCCTGCCATATTAGGGCAAATGGATAGAGAAAAATCTTTATTCTCTGTCACTCTTAAAATTATTTGTAAGACTAAATTATTTTGTTCAGAAAAGGGGGGTAATGTTTAAATTTAATGCCTTATATAAATATGCAATTTTTGTGTCCAAATTTGTTGTAGTATAAGGAAGGTACTGCAGAATAGAGATTTAATTTTTCAGATAAAAGTATGAGAGGTCTCCTGAAAGCTCTTTATGTTAAAAGAAAAAA